ATTTTGCCATTATATCCTGAAACACCCATATACAAAAAAAATCTAATGCAATTTAGAGGTCACAAAGCCTCTGTAACTATTAAACTTAGTTTAGCTATTAAAGCGGTAGTAAACTAAAGATTTCTACTTTCATCCCTTGAAATTGTTCATAAACAATGTGTTGTCTTTAGAATGTGGCTAACCTGTTCTGCTCTGCAAAAATCGAGTGATTTCCAGTTCACTGACATCACTGGCACATGTGCATTATAGTTGTAATTGATGGCATGCTCTGTGTGCCGTCAGTCCTTAACGTAGGAGGACGCGCCCATGTTATCCACTCTCAGCAGCATTGAAATTCCAATCCCGGAAGAGTACATCACCACCCCATGTCGCTTGGCTAATTCATATTACACATGCGTGAGATTACAGCCATCATCATAAAGAGAGGGTGGAAGCTGGATACGGAAGAGAAGACCCAAGATGGCAAAGGCTTTGGCTGAGTGATGCAGAAATGAAAGTAAAGCAAAGGTTACTGATATTGCAAGATTTTTAAGCAAAAAATATAGCGACTTCCCTTGTCCTCACTTAACTTACTGGCCTTCAGTTTCTTTCAGTTGTTGCTGCCTGAGTTTACTAGCACTTTAACCCATACTACAAATCCTAGAAAAAAACAACAGCTGAAACTATATATGTTTACATGAGCCGCGCATTTAAGCTCATTTTATTATACTGTAAGAAAAAGGATCTCTAAACGTAGCATACCCTTGCTGAATGTTTGCTTTTGTCAGGTTTTCTTTTACAAACTCATTTGCTTTCATATCTGTACACTTTCCAAGTCCCAGTTTCCAAAGCAGCTACATACATTAAATATTGCAGCCCGACTAGTTTCAACACATCTGTGGAGTGGCTAACGCAAACATTTCTGGCAGCTACAAGGCATAGAGCAAAAGAAGAAAAAACACGCCAAAAGATTACTAGCACTCTTCAGCTGAAGCTGATTCTTCCATGAAGATATAGACTCAAGGAAGCATTCCATAAAGATTCCTTTTCTCGTGTGGAAGAGGCATAAAGTACAATATTACTCACATTACTTTTATTGTGTTTATAGCAAGCAAGGCCAAGTATAAAGAACTACACTGGCAGGCGCTGATTCAATCAGAAAGGACGGCGAGCAAAATTGCACAATGCAGCTCCCATAGCAGGCAAACAGAATCCATCTTTTGTATATGGAGTGTCAGTGAGCGCTATGGGTGTATAGAAAGGTATAGGCTGCTGGCACTAAAGGACCGCCCTTGGTATCCTCACTGGTGAATGAAATATAGTGCTGCACCTTTTAGAATCCATCTTTTACTGGCCTAACTTTTTTTTTTTTAAAAGAACAGAAAATGGCCTAACTTTAGTTAAGTGATTTCTAAGCAGTTGCTGTGGGTAACTCCACTGACAGTCTCTAACATATTAAGCCATGCCCTCAACTAGCAAAGTCGTTTTTATTGTAGGCTCTGCAATTGTGATTTTTTTTTTTGTTATAAAGCAAAATTCAGTGCTTCTATGATACATAATTCATGCAGATATTAAAATAGAGAAAAAAAAAATAAAGCTGTATACATGCTATGCACGTGCAAAGAAAATCCAACCATCTAATCTCTGCCATTAGTAAGTAAACCTACTAAGCTTCATGCTGAAATGAACTGTTTAAAGACAGGCAGATATCTCCATGAGCATGAAAGAGATGAACCCTGAAGTCACTGGAGTGCCAAGACCTGCCACAATACTCAGCTAAAGACTACAGTAGCAGCATGTATGGCACTTTCTTCCTTCCCTCATCTACAGGGAGTATGATTAGCTCTTTTTGTCATAACAAGCATCTCCAATGGCCAAAAGAACAAATATACTGTATGTGCTTTAGTTAGGTCAGAGATGGCCCAAATGTTGCAAGTGATGCTAGAATTGGGAGCATTGCTTGTGACTATTGAGCTGTTTATGACTACCTTTAGGCCATGACAGCCAGAGTTAAACTTATTCACACTGCAAGTCAATACAAGTACATAAACGTTTTGCTTGTGTTTCTTTAGCAATACAGAGGGAATACTGTATTTTAGCAATGAGGGTAATATTCAGTTCAGTCTGACTATTGTAAAGTCAGAGCAGTGATATAGACGGGGCAAATGGGCAGCAGCATACAGGGCAAATGGGAAGCAGCATACTGCTCAACATTACATATGATCACCAACACTTAATAGCTATAATAAAAAGCCAAACAGGCTGTTTTCTGCCCTGCACAAAATGTAAATTTCAAGGAAAAAGACTTAAAGCACATACTCTTGCTTAAAGCCTAGAACACACCTTAAGAATATCAGACGAATGTTTTTTTTTTCTGCTAGTCTTATATCGAAAATGAATAGGTTACTAGAGTTATGAAGTTTCTTGTAAGAGAGAATACAACTTCCTATGATGATGTAATGTATTGTATTGTAATGTATTCTTTTATTCCAAGTATTCGCTGTCTTGGATTTTTACAGTAGAATACTATACTGTTTAACCAAAAATCGTTCATTCTGCTATCATATGAGAAAAATGTTCGTGCTTGTCCCTTCGGATAATTCCATATGAACTGTCGTGATTGGCTCTCAAAAGATAAGATGTATACTAATGATCAAATTATCAGATGATCACTCTGAAAGCAGTATTTTTACATCTGATTCTCATTGTGTGCATGAAACTTTACTCTTTGAAATACTTTCTATCTCCTATCTTTCCATAACCCATGCCTTTATTCCCCTACATAACAACCTCTTCAAATACAAAATGCAAGACCTGGTAATTCACAGACAAATGAGTGACCAAAGTCTGCTTTATCTTGCTCTCAATTAAAATAGCAAAACTACTAAACAATTACATGTTTATATATTGAAAAAAAATGATAATGCTACTGGTGTCTGAAAGCTCAAAGGTCTAGAAACATTTTCACAATGCTGTTTCCTAAACTCAATAACAAAGACTCCAGCTTTACAGCGATTGTTGATCCATTTATATATTATTTTACATACACTTAGACATTATTATACAACAGAATGCATGTATTAAGTTGCAATGTGTATTGATAAGTCCTTTATTTGCTCTTTTTAAAAACTCGATTTCAACGGACTCAAATGGCAAATTGCTATTCAACGCACCCAAAGTACAGCATTCAGGATATTTTTAATGAACTTTCAGATCTTGACGCCCAGACGCATAATAAAGGTGACATGTAACATTAAATACATGATGATATCCCTGCACTACTTCACTATGGCAGAGAGGGATATAATTACTGCATTTCCACTGTTTGGCACATCAGAAACGTCTGGTACCATATCTGGTGAATGCCTTTCCCAGAGAAGCCCTATTTTACTGTGTCATTGTGGGTGCAAAAGACCCCTCCAAAATGACATACATGTTGGGAAAGTGTAGGAAATGGCCTTCCCACCTCATTGTACACAGGAGCACACACTACAATTTTTAATTGAGAATATGACCACAGTGAGAAACTGCCATCTGTCTCATTTGGAATCCAACAAAAGCTAATAGAGCAATTTTAAAACTGTGTACGTAAACTTAAGGGCCAGCTTGAAACCCGAGCAGGCAAAAGAAGAACAATCAATCGTCATGCAGATGGTTCTCTGATGAGAATCAAACTCAAATCGCAGTGCTGCAAATCAGTAATCCAAACCAGCAAGCCTCATTGCTGCACCGAGCAATAATTTACATGAATGTCAATCAGAAAACATTTTTTAGAATACCCTGTCTGAGATCAAAACACATTTTACAGGTACAAAAAAATCAATATCCAAGTAATTTGAATGTGAATATTTGCAATGAATTAGTAAGAACATAACTATTTGACAAAAGAATACAGTATGATTTTATCTATGTTGGTTGTGGTATATTTGTAAGTGTTTCCATTCTTAGTGACAACAAGATTTCTTTGCAGAAAACAATACCTAAAGATCTCTGACCATGAAGATTGATCAGATTGAAAGAGTTATAAGTAACCCTATCAATTTAGAGTGCTGTATTACATGTAACAAAGATTCATCACATACAGATCAATAATATAATGGGGAAAAGTTGTTTCACAATTGCACTGTGGTGTTATAGGTAGTAAAGACACTAAAAAAAAAATCAAAATAAAGAAATGGGCCAATACATCTAACGGAAAAGAAAAAAAAAAACAAACAAAAAAAGTTATTTTTGCTCTCAATACAAAACAGTGTACTAAAATACAAGATTTAAGGCACACACACATATATATACATATAAAAAAAATAGTTCACAATAATATACTAACATTTGAAATCTGGAAGCAGACTGTGGATATGTTATATCTTCTTCTCCACCTATGTCATCACTCTGTGTGAAGACTGAAGACTAAATCACTGTGGTGCGGTTATTGACTGAATAAAGATACTCACAATGATTAATTAGAAAACTGTATGGTAGAAATATCAATGCAGCAATGATTATTCAGTGATACAAAATATAGAAATGCAGCTAATTTGTAATGCTTTACAACCTAAAGTCCTGTGAACTCCGAGCAGGATATTATAAAACAGAGGCCCCGACAAGAAATGTACACCAAAACCTCTATACAATTTTTTGAAGAAGATCATCAGTAAAGATCACATTAGCCCAGTTACAAGAAAAATAAAAGCACAGCTGAGAACTTCTCATTGTTGTTACAATTCATTGTTATATGCTGATCTCAGGGCAATCCCAATAACACAATAGTTGTGATCCAGCTGGGTTATGTTGGCTTTAGTACAAGGGACAGATTAACATTTCACCCCAGATCTTAGGGACAGCTTGAACCAGTACTTACTTATCTGTCTCCTACAAATAAAGAAAAGAATCCCAGTCAGGAAACTGGCTCAATCTTTCCAGAAGATCTGGCATCATTAATGGAGGTGTAGATAGTGGGCAATATGGCAGTTGTACTTTTTGTCTCTTTTTGGTCCCCACCACTTATGGAAGGCTTTGAGAGTTTAGGAGCTGATAATCTGTCCTGACCATGTCTCATGCTTTGTGTGAGGAGACAGGTGAGTGAGAATGACTTCCACAGCTTGAAATTTCTGGTTCTTGGGTGGAATTGGGCACATCTTGTATGTTACCTCATCTCCTTCCACAGGCACATATTCTCCCTCAATGCTGCAACACAAGAAAACATGGAATCAGAAGCATATTCTGTCTTGAGAAGAGGAGATTAAGAGGGGATATGATCAACATGTATAAATACATCAGTGGTTCATATAGTGAACTCGGTGTAGAGCTATTCACCCTGAGGTCATCACAGAGGACAAGGGGGCACTCTTTACATCTAGAGGAAAGAAATGTAATCTCCAAACACGGAAAGGTTTCTTCATCACAATGAGAGCTGTGAAAATGTGGAATAGACTCCCTCAAGAGTTGGTTCTGGCCAGCTCAGTGGATTGATTTAAAAAAGGCCTGGATTATTTCTTGGAAACACTGGATACTAACTGAATACTGAATATAACTGGATACTAACATTTATAGGTAAAGTTGATCCAGGGAAAATATTCGATTGCCTCTCGGGGGGATCAGGAAGGAATTTTCTCCCCTAATTGGATCATGCATTGCTGGGGTTTTGCCTTCCTCTGGAACAACTGTGGGTGTAGGATTATAACTTTTTTTTTTTTTAATGGTTGAACTGGATGGACTTTTGTCTTTTTTTCAGCCAGACTAACTATGTAACTATATTCAATTTACATTCAGTTTAGTGACCAAAACTTGATTTTTTTTTTGACAGACAATAGAAAAACTGCAGTGGCACCAGCAACTGAAAGTCATTTTCCAGAAACGGCTATATGTTTGTCTGTCAATGGCAAACTTTGCTCTTGGTATCTACACTATGTGCAAGTCTATGGGAAACCTTTTATTTTGTTAATTTCAGAGTTTTTATTAATATTGAAATGGACATAAAGTAACAACATCAATGCTGACAAAGACTGGCATCTACTGTGTACATAGGAAGTTAAAGGAACAGATAAGACAAGGTCTCTGCAATAAAGCATAGACAGAAGGAATGTATTACATAGACAATTAGCATGTTATCAGATTGCTGAAGACAGATGGAATAAGAGACCTAATCACAGACTGTTCACAGGAACGGATAAATGAAAATTGAGCATATATTTAGAGTATAATCAGTTTAGAAATGATGAAAACCAAAACTGAAAGTGTTGTGTGTGGTCTCAAATATATTTGGAACTTAGCAGCGCCCTTAGATACAACATTTAACAAGTGAATATATGGCACTGCAGCCTGCATAGATCTAAACATGTAAGAGCCACTGTTCAAAATAATGTACGAGCTGCATCTATTGAATGGACAGCAAGTAGAAGGGAACCCTTTAAATGAATGGGAATAAAACACTGTCTTCTACATCCAGGTTACTGGAAACCAATATATTCTCTGACAGTTATATCCAGTAGCTGATATTCTTACAGCAGCTGTTTAGTAAGAATAGCCACCTGTCAAGTCTGTACGTTTGTTGTAAAATATAATGAATAATACTCCATAGAAAGCCTATTAACATGATGAAAACTATTAGATGAAAGAAATGTTACCTTACTGGGGGCAAATAACATAAACAAATATAATGTGCCCTGACATAACTTTATTAAAGTAGAACTAAAGGCAAAACTTTTTTTTTTTGGATCGAGTTAGGAAGGATTATAATCCCTGTCACGTTTATTTCCCATCCCGTTAGGGAGATTCCCCTTCACTGCCTGTCCCAAAGCCAAACCAAGAAGTGAAAGATATCCCTCCAATGTGAGAGTATCTCTGGTTGTCACCAGGTTCACCAGAAGTAATGTCCACATTAGGAGTTTTCCCCTCTATTAATGTTCTAAGGGAGCTGAAGTGTCATATTATTATTATTATTATACAGGATATATATAGCGCCAACAGTTTGCGCAACGCTTTACAAAATGAAGGTAGACATTACAGTTACAATACGATTTGGTACAAGAGGAAACAGAGGGCCCTGATTGTTAGAGCTTACAATCTAGGAGGAAGGGTTGAGTGATACAAAAGGTAATAGCTGTGGGGGGATGAGCTGATGGAGGAAATAAAAGGCAATTTACTAGTTAGAAGCAGGATAGGCTTCTTTAAAGAGAAAGTGTGACGGGAGTCACTTTGGGTGGGGGGCCCATGGACCCCTGCCTCAGCTCCCCATATCTCTCTTATGTGTAAATCACCCTGTGCCTGTACAGGGTGATCTGCCCTAATATTGTGTGGGCTTTGTTTCAGGCTGTGTAGACATGTTTAGGAGATAGGTGGGGGGTTGTGGATTGTTTAATATTATGTGTATTAGCTTAGTTGGGGGGGGGGGGTCTCCAGCAGCCCCCTCTCCTGATGGGACTGTCTGCTGGTATGAAGTTGAATACCTGTGTGTCTCTTGTTACTAAATGTAGATTGGCCCACCCTGTGTCATCAAGCGTCATGAACCAGATCTGGAATACCTACTGATGAAAGAACAGCATCTGGAAAGGGCATACAAGCAACTGCTAAAACATATTCAGCAGCATGTCCAAGAGTCGGCAGTAGAAATTCCAGAGATTACTGTCCCCAAACCTGAAGTGCTAACAAAAGGGCAGAGCTCTGCTAGCCTCTGCCCAGCACTGGTACCATCTTCTGGGTTCCACGGACAGGAGATGGTGAACCCCTATCCCCAGATACCAGTTCTAGAGACTGGGGATTTGATTGACTTTTCTGCTGAGGAGGAACCAGCCGGCGCACCTCCAGCAGAAGAGCTGGCATCAGGGCATGGTGTTGTTGACCTCTGCCCACAACAATCAGCACCGCAGGAGCTACAGGAAAAAGATGCAATCAGCACCTCACAACTGCAGCTTGAGCTGATGTCCGTGGATGGGACTTCGGTCTTCACTGACACAAACCCAGAAAAGGGTCTGGCATTGGGATAGGAGGATATTAGCCTTCCTTTGCGAACACTGGGGGATGTTCATCAAGTCAAAGTGGATGAGACTACAGTCACCACCTGGATACCTCAGGAATGCTGGGCAGTCGGCCCTGATCCCAAACAGCATGATGGAGTTGGCCCAGCCACCCTGTCTTCTCTCCAGCTGTTGAGAGGACTTCAGGGAGAAGGACCAGTCTGTACTTCTCCCCAGCGATGGGTATGTTCTACGAGAGAGGCAGAGGTTGGTTGGGCGAGTAGTGCTTTGTATGGGATACTTTGCTTGGGGTACTGTGTGGGTGCTGGCATTGGGGGACTGGAAGTACATACTAACTTCAGAGTCAACCCGTCTGGGGTTTCCTCCTGTGTTGCCGAAAGGGGAGACACTTTGGGTGGGGGGCCCATAGAACCCAGTTCACTTTGGAGAGGTGGAGAGACCCCTGTCTCAGCTCCCCATATCCCTCTTATGTGTAAGTCACCGTGTGCCTGTTAGAGGTACAGGGTGATCTGTCCTAATATTGTGTGGGCTTTGTCTCAGACTGTGTTGACATGTTTAGGAGATAGGTGGGGGGTTGTGGATTGTTTAATTTTATGTGTATTAGCTTATTGGGGGGGGGGGGTATCTCCAGCAGCCCTCCCTCCTGATGGGACTGTCTGCTGGTGTGAAGTTTGAATACCTGTGTGTCTCTTGTTACTAAATGATTGGCCCGCCCTGTGCCATTATGCAGGGAGGGGGGATTGTCCCCTAAGTGTATATATCTTGTATCTGTGTTCAAATAAACTAGTCTAAAGTTTATTGTCTAAAGGTGGATAGATTAGGAGATAGCCGGGCAGATTGGGTTACAAAGTTCCATAGGATGGGAGAAGTCCTGGAAGCGAGCATTGGAGGATCAATGATATACCTTGGTACCCTTATCTACTCTACTAATATTAGTTGATATTTGCCCACGTACAGGTTTACATGCTGTTTCCACAGCAAGCCTGTCTCTGTTTTTCATTGCGCAGGTCATACAATGTTCCCATTTTTAGCTGAATGAGAGAAATACTCTTTGGCAGAAAGCAGCTACACCCACAGCAATGTGCCCATACAGTCAAAGCAGATTGTCAGAAAAAATGCATTCCATGTAAAATCCTTCTCAGCATTTGTGATATCTTTTGGCCTTTTCAATAAAATAGAGGTACAGTATAGTAATCTGTGCAAAGTGTAATAACTAGAGGAAAGTATATTGATCCACCTAATCCAAGACCTGGCCCAGGCAGGCAGATCAGTTCATTCCTCCAAGCCCCATAATGGTCCTAGGTCACATTATTATAACAGAAAATAACCTTGCTGCTGTAAAGAAGGCTTTTGCCAGCCTATCACATCATCATTTAGTTTGCTTATTTACCCTGATCTGCCATTTGCAGCCCTGTATATTGTATATTCTATACAAATACCAATGTAGCCAGGTGCTGGCTATATCATTATGCCATTCAGGGACATTTACAGACAAGACTATGATAAATCAATTTCCCCCTAGTGCCCAGTACATCACTTCCTGTTAGCAGGGTGGATTCAGCTCTTCTGCCAGTGGAGGATCTTGGGACCTGTAGTCCTCTAGCCAACACACACTGTATTTCTGAGCGCTGATTGAACTACAACTACCAGCGAGCTGGCATAATGGTTTTATAGGTGGTGGTAAAGTCTAAATATGAAAACCCACTGACAGGCAGGGTTTTATAGCAGAAGAGACCCTAGAGGTCTATTCTGTCATAATGCCTCCCCCCACCAGATGTCAGCAGGTAATGTGATCTGAGCCGCATGTGCAGTTAAGAACACTTTTACAGCACGCTTTGTTTGCCGCAGAAATGTGACTCCTGTGCATATTTGTGGGAGTGTTGTCACCACAGCCAAAGATACGGAACCTGGAAGGAGAATTGGGTGAAGATGGAAGTGTAGGAGACCAGGGAGAGCCAAACCTTTAATTGCCACATTTGCTAGACAGCTTTGGAGGTGTTTTTTTTAATTAGCCAGGGTGCTGATGAAAAACACTGAATGGATTCCCCCATCCACAAAAGTGAAGTGGAGAGAGCCATCCTCCCCACTGTGTTATTGTATACACTGATCATCACTGCAGCCAATTGGCTGTATTGCTGAAAGAAACAAACATTTTCCCACAAGCCCATTCCTGAGAAGTCAACAACAGGTAAAGAACTATGTGATATTAAA